AAGCATATCAAGCTTTAGTCAGTATCGGCTAGATTCCTACACCTGCATGCTTGATTTTTGTTTAATATGTTTATATGGATCAATCTATTTATATAAGTTGTTACTAGAGTATTAGCTAGTACGTTATCTTTCTTTCTCTAAATACTGTCACGTCAGCTACTTTCATAATATCGTTTTAAATCAATCTGTTAAACTACATAGATAGTATTACATCCGATTGGACGTGTTTAGGGTTTATTATTCTTTGATATATCCAGTCCATAGCCGATTTGGTCTAACTCCATCGGCTGAGACCATAAACGATACACTATCAGTCGACTAATTCTACTTTTATTCTTTCTTGCCGATTGCAGGACCAAATCAGCTGGCACGCCCTTGACACACTCGGGGCTAGCCTAGGACCTGCACTGGAGTTAAGCAGATCTCCCAGGGCACCGTGTTTTCACATCAACAAATGGCAGAAATAATCTAAGCAAAACCCGACTCTAAACTATAACAACTACTGAATAAATATGATTTAGGATGTCCTAGGGTTGCCCTAGGGCACACACCCCCTTGGGCTTAGCCCATGACACAATTACATGGCCCAAGACCCATATCAGATTCGGACTGGATGAGATACGTGGTTTGTTTCGCAGATTCCTGATAGCTTGGTGGGAATTTTGATGTGGTACCAAAACCATCTGAAACTAAACTTCATAAGCTTTCCAACAAGTACTCATGGGTCCCGAGATTCCTTATAGATCAGCGGCTAGGTCCGTTTGAAGTTGATGCTGTCAGGAGGCCTGAATCCGAATCCAAATCCAAAATGTGTAGATCTTTATTTCTTGTCTTCTATGGACCAAAAGTGACGTGGTGAAGTAGGAATTGACTTGGAGAAGGTCTTGGTTTAGTCCCCAATCAACCTCTGCAAATGAAAACACACGAAACTCATTGTGTAGCAATGTTTGTTCAAAGATATAACAAGTAAATATAATATAGAACATATGCACCTTTCGTTGATGAATACATAAGGTAGTCATGGTTATATTTGAGCTAGTTGTATCCTCATCAAGCACCTCGGCCACCGGTTGGTCGCCATTCCTCAACATGGGAACCCGCCTCCCTCGTTCGCCAGTGAGCTCCACCATTCCCCTCTCCTCCGGCCAGCAATGCTCACCACCATGCACCCTCATTCCCTCTCCTTCCCTAGGTGCCGCCATTGCTGTCCGCCTCCTCATTCGCTAGGTAACCATTGTCATCACCGTCCTCTCCTGTATTGGCCGCTGTCAATCCCCTTCTAGCTCCCTTCCCATGCGTGTCGTTGCCTCTCTGGATGCATCGCTGCCTTTTGTGCGCACTGCCAGTCGTCGTCGCGGGTGGCTGCACTGCCCCGTAGCCATTGGATCAACCTCAGGCCAATCTAGATTGTCGATTCCCGTGGACTATCCCAGTGGTCCCGGTCCATAGTGGAAAGGCCCACTTGTGTCACTGTTGGGTGGGCCCCGCTTGCTGGTGCCGGCCTTCCCCTCACTAATGTCAGCCCTTGGGCTTTAATGTGCAATAATTCATTAAGGTTTTTTTATTAATAGTAAAAACACAATGAATCTTCTAAAATTCATAGTAAATTCATTCGAGCTTCGTTTAAGTACATGCAAATTACAGTAAATTCATAAAAATGCCTAGAATCGACTAAAAATGTTGTTGTCTCTATTTTAGTAGACTTATAGCCTATTTGCTTTATGTGCTTTGTTTGTTGCTTATATTCGGTCTATTTCGAAGCTCCCATTTACTTCGAAGTGGTTGAGAGGTTCCAACATCACTAGAGCTAGGCAAGTCATGGATCCTAATTGATCATGTTGTACCTATTTTACATATATCTCGCTTTCTATTAAATACTGCATTATTTTACATTGTCACGTGGGATGGTTTCCTATGCACTTAGCCATTGCTTGTTCACCTTGTATCATTGATAACATGGGAATTAATATGACTAGATGTTGTTCAGGAAATGCTTAACCATGCTTAGATCAACTAGCTCACCACGGGAATCTCACATATACCTTATATCTTGGATTAGTGATAATGACATTGGACATGGATCACCATGGTATTAATTCAACTAAAATATACCTACTGGAGGGCTATGGGCACATAGTTTTGATAGACGCACCCATGCAATTAAGGACCGGTTCGCAGAAAATCTGTGGAAGACTTACCGTGTGTACAACATACCAACGTGGGTGATGGTTGGGCTTGTTGTATAGCTCCACCCTCTTTGACGTACCCAGGTGAGGGTGGGCGTGATGGAGTTCGGTTGGCCCTAGATATAAGGGTTGATCACCTTCCATATTCACCATGGCACAAGAGGAGGCTACCTACTTTAGTTTTAAGGGTAGGAGCAAAACCTGCTGTGTGGTGCACTTGTTTGGGGGGAGTTATGTGAAGGGTCCTGTCATAGATCCTTTCCGGTATGTTGTGGGGCTGTGTCTTGTGGGTACATATGTACACTTTTGGCAAGAGTAAAACTATTCGAATAGCCATGCCCACGGTTATGGGCGATCGACCAGCTTTACCGTGATTAGTCTCGTCATTAATAATTTGACTTAATTGAATTGGTGTAGTTCAGGTGGATGGTTGGGCCTATCTCAATGTGGTTTAACGTTAGACGATGATGATTAATATTTCTTAATATACTTCAACAGTTTTACCGCTTTCGACCACTGCTTTATAACTGCTTTATGCAAAAGAACCCCTAGCCTCCTTTGAAATCCTTGCATCATACTTCCTCTTGGTATGACTTGCTGAGTACAGTGGGTAGTACTTAGTCTTGCTCTATTTTCTCCACATCAGAGTTGGACTACTACTCGGATAGAGGTAACTCAGTGGAGTAAACTTCGTCACTACCGCCAAGGAACCTTGTGGAGTGGAGTCACCGCTTTGCTAGCATCACTTATCCAAGTTTTGCTAGTTTTAACTTTCCACTGCATTTGTAAGACTTTTTGTTATGTTTTGTAAGATGTGGATTTGTATGTCAACTTTGTCATCTATATACCATGGGCGGTCCTGAACAGGGGTTTAATGCACATTCTGCTTATAATTCTGGCTCGTGAATTTCTGGGCGTGACAGTTCCCCGCCAAAGCAAGATACCGATGAGAAACTACTATTGGAGAAGGAGTCGGCAGACAACGAGGACGAGAATGCCATTGAGGATGGCAACGACGATGACCGTTTAAGCTGGAGCGGTGGAAGAGGAGGCCGAGGTCGCTGAGGTGGAGGTGGCAGCTTGCGGGGACGATGTGCTAATGCGGGCCCAACACCGTCTAGACAAACATTTTGTATAGTAGTGTATGCATGTCTGGTGAAGTTGTGATCTAGAGGATTTCTTGGAATATATGCCAATTGTTTTGCATGATTTTTTTTCCACCTCCGATGAATACAAATGCAATGGTAAAACATTCTAGCTAGCAAATACTGGATCATTTATTGTAACTATACATAAATAAGAGTATTTCACAAAACTAAAGATAGTTGTATAAAATTATCATAAAACTGCATATTTAGCACCAAATTGATTATGAAACTATAGGTTAAGTTGGGGTATAGCAAAACTACAATTCTACTAATGAAGTTATCTGTAGTTTTTTGGGTACTTATAGCAAAACTACAAATCTAATCTACAAATCCTTTTTTGCTTGAGTTCTGAATATTGTACTTCTGTGATTAAATTGACATAAATCTATAGCTATTGTGATACCTTCATTACTAGATCTGTAATTATGTGATACTCCACCTTGAATTTGTAGTTTTGTGATAAATTTGGTATAGAATCTACAATTTTTCATACACTGCCTTAAATATGTATTGTTTGATAGTTTATGATGTTTCGACCAATTTAAATAAATTATATGGATGTTTTGGTAATATGTTGCAACTAGGTATAAAAAATTCTCCAATGTACTTATTTATAGATTAAATTAAACTAAAATTTCTGCTAATGATTGAAAACAGATGAAGATTCAATTCCCCATAGATACAGCAATGAACCTCCCGAAAATTTTATAACTTTTAAAGTTCATTTGGCACCTCGATTAGTTTGGTCAATGCCGTAGTCAACATATTGAGAATCCAAAATCCAAACTGGATTGAAATGTGAATATTCATAATTAAAATGCACTACATTGGACGACCAAAGCTTATACAGGAAATTAATTAGATTAACAGTGAATTTTCATAAGTTGCACTACTATACATGCGTATAAATTGTTCGAATGATCTAAAAATTGGTTTGACTCGTTTGCACTAAATTATATTTGCAATCAAGTTTCCCCCTGTCATTAAATTCTACTTGCAATCATGCATGCTAGGATACCGTACCATATTGTTTCTCTGCTCCATGCCAGGCTAAAATATGCTTAGAGTAAATTTCATATAAAACTATACGTTGTTCATACTGTTAAAAAACTATAGATTTAAGGTAAAGAATCATAATAACATATATAAATTTAACATCAAATTTATTAGAAATCTTCATATTGAAGGCGACGTTATTTTGTTCAAAATTGAACATTTCGATCGGTTACACGTACTTGCGCCCATCCAATATAATTTATATATGAGCACCGTTCATTTCCTTCAGTTTACATTGGTGTACAATATATCGATCTTTAATTAGTTATTTACATGCATATGATGTGACACGTAGTTAAGCTTAATTACCATATCTTATTATTATTGAGGCGTCCTCAATTGAAAGGCCGGCCATTTCTGTATAGTAGTGAAGCTGGTTTAAAATTTTGGCCCCCACCGGCAAGCACACATCTCCCTGAAATTTTCGGGTTTGTTTGTCAAATATTTGTAAATTTGGTTAAAATTTATTCAAATTCAATAAGATATGTTAAAAATTCAAATAATTTCAGTCAGAAAAGTCCAGAAATAACGGAAATTTCAAATTTTCGGCAACCACCGAAATTTCAGTGGCAACCGAAATTGCAAACCCTAATCAAGAGCTCGAACTTAATTTGGTTAGATGTTTACTTGTTTTGCTCTTTAATTTCTCCCCCTTGAATCTTGATCGATCCACGACATGAAATAGTACAACTATACAACTGTAAAACATGCGTACAGATTACAGATATTAATTAGTGGACGCTTCAAATCCCTAGCGTCTGCAGCCACTCGCCTGCACGAATCGCCGCCATCTGCCACCTCCACGACTCCAAGGTCGTCGTCGTCGCCGACGCCGCCGCGCCGCCGTCGAGGAGGTGATTTATGTAGGCGTCGAGGTCGTGGACGCACGCCGCGTGGCTGGCCTTGAAGAAATCGAGGGCGACTTCGACGCCGACGTGGGTGTAGCACGCCTTGCTCCACGGCAGCTCGACCCGGAAAACCCTAGCGGCGGCCTCGTTGAGCACCACGCCGGGCATCCTCGTCACCGGGTCGCGGGCGTTCGCGACGCGGAGCACCTTGACGCGGAGCTCATCGCACCGTCTCTTGAACTCGAGGTTGCCGACGCGCGGGCCGCCGAAGGAGAAGACGGTGATCGGGATGGCGCCGCCGCGGCCGCCGCGGCCGCCGCGGTTGAGGCCCAGCTCGGCGAGGTCGTAGCCGAGGAGGATCGCCAGCGAGCTCCCCATGCTGTGTCCGGCGAGGGTGATGCTGACGTCGTCGTGCTTGTACTTGTCGATGAGGCGGGTCACCTCGGAGAGGAGCTGGTTCCGGCAGCTCCCGCAGGTGAACTTGCCGGAGAGGTCGTCGGAGGTGTAGAGGGAGAGGAACCCGGACTCGACGCGCACGTCGGGGCGCGGGTCGGCCGGGTCGAACCGCGCCGGCGACAGCGCGCTCATGAAGTTGGCCAGCCACTCCGATCCGGTCACCGTGCCGCGGAAGGAGACGAGGATGTCGCGGCGGCCGAGGCGGGCGGCCTCGCGGTTGGACGCGACGGCGACGTAGCCGATCCACCGGCTCTTGCCGGCGCAGGAGCAGCGGCCGCCGACGCCGAAGGGCAGCGCGACGTCGGGGGCGGCGTAGATGTACCTGGTGACCGTGTACCCGGCGCCGGCCATGCCGACCGCCGGCAGCATCTGCTTCTTGCCGTGCTTGCAGTTGAGGTAGCGCTTCGACGCCGGGTCGAGGTCGAACGCCCGGTAGCACGCCGCGACGAGCTCCCCGTACCGGACCACCTCGTCCCGGAGCAGCGGGTGGAGCGGCTCCACCATGCCCCTCCAGTCGCCGGCGCCCTGCACCTCCCGCCACGCGCTCGCCAGCGCCGCCACCGCCGCCGCCTCCTCCACCTCCTCCTCCTCCGCCGCCGTCGCCGCCGCCGCTCTCTTCTCCACCACCACAGGAGAACCACCACTACTCGTCGTCGTCGTCGCCGTGGCGGCCGATCGCTTCTGCTGTGGCAGATCACCCAGAGTGACGGTCACCGGCGAGGCAGCCGACGTCGTCGCGGCAGTGACCGGGCCACTGACGCGCATCCGGCACGTCGTCGCCGCAGTGAGCCGCGCCACCGCCGCTGCCGCCATCGGCCGGCGATCGAGCAGGCCAGGGTTAGGTGAGGCGGACGCGGCCGCAGTGGCGTGCGCAGCTAGCGATCGATGGATGAGTACAGTGAGTGGCGGTTGGCGGTAAGGTGAGCGCGCGTGCGTACATATTTATAGGGAGGCGACGGCGACGCACGCGGTTGGCCACGTAAGCAACTTGAGGAGAGAGAGAGAGAAAGAGAGAGATGTATGGATTATTTGACTAGCGAGACGAGGAAAACGGGTGGAGATGAGATGAGCAGAGCGTTTTCTTAAATGGAAAAAGTGGTCGGTTGCGGGTCTGACCGGGGGTACGGGCATGCGCCCGAATCCGGTTAGGGTGGAGACCACCTGTGTTGGATAGACAAGTACTGCTTGTTTTGTGGGGCAGTTAGCATAGCAGATTTGCACGTGTAGTGTACATCCGGAATGATGCACTGCTGATAGGTTATGAGTGTCTACCAAGTTGAGACGATATCGTTCTCACGTATCCTAATTTTTAAAGTATCTTAATTTTAGTATTAATTTTCACACGATTCTACAAAATCTTATATATCATCATGATACTAAGATTCGGAGGCGGACCATGGAAAGTTTTCGAATAAGTAGGCGAAATTCGCTATCATCGTACCAAGGGCTTGTTTGGTAGAGCTCCAACTACTAAATTTAGCTCTAGAAGTTTGGTCTGGAGTGGAGTTATGGAGATGCCTAAACCCAGCTCTATATCTCTTGTTCATTTTGTGAGAGAGCTCCACCTAACTCCGCTCCTATTCTAGGTAGAGCTGAAATTGTTCGGCTGAGTTCCAGCTCCAGGAGAGGTAGAGCTAGAGCTGAAGCTGTGTCAAACAGGCCCCAAATATTATTTTAACATAAGGTGGATTGAAAATAATTTAAATAAATATGCTGAAGTTTACATAAAACAATTAAATTTATTTAAATCAATGTTATTTGCTTTAATTTATACAACATATTATGTATTTTATATAAAATATATATTTTCTAAAATTTCACAATATTCTGATCCTATGTTAGTGTCATGATACTATAATATTACAAATAAAAAAGGGTTAATTGGATCGATGCCATTGTAATTTCTTCAGTTTTGAAATATGCCATTACAATTCATTAAATTGGAACCATGCCATTACAATTTGTGAGGTATTTGAGACATGCCACTACTTACCCTTTCAAAGCAGTGGCACATATCTAATATATGTTAAATTGTAATGGTATGTTTCTAACTTCGTGAATTGTAATGGTATATTTCAAAACAAGCAAATTTATAATGGTATGGATCCAATTAACCCAATAAAAAAGATCTTACCTAATATCTCCTTGCAACCAACTAGGTACTCAGCTTAGTACAAAGAAAAAGTCACACATACTCTCCAAGGAGAGCGTAAACACATATCTGAACATGCAAGTTTCTAAGCATATATCTGAACAAATGTCAAATGTTTATCCTGATTCAATCCAATAAATTGATTTTTGAAGTGTGTAATAAGTGGGTATACATATATAATTACAGCTAATTATGCTTTCGGTAGTAGCACATCACTAGCAAAAATACTCGTGGTGTCTTTGCCAATCTCAACGTATGCGCCGGCGATTTTATCAATCTCAAAATATATCGGCTTAGTCTTTTTGAAGTGCTTATACATACATGGTGTATAAATATATGGTGTATAAGCTTGAGTGATCAAGCACGCAGACGATATCGTTTGTGTTTATATGTGTTACGACAATTAAAGTCCACCGTTTAATAATCAGTAATGTGATAATTAAGAAAATTAATGTGGTTGTTATAAAGTATAAATTCATACTTGTGTTTTCTAACCTTTGCAAGTTGACAACGTTCTACTTACTCTTTTTTCATCTGCACGCTTCCGAAACTTCTTCACAATACATTTTGAAAAAAAATAGAAAAGTTTCTTTAAAAAATTATATAAATCCATTCTCAAGTTTTCTCTCTAATAATTAATTAATTAATTAATTATGCAGTGAGATAACTTGTTTTCCATGCGAGGAGAATGAGTAGCCAATCATACTCCTGATCAGCCTTTTGACTACCATATAATGGTAACATCATTGTTTTCCAAATCATAACACATATATGTAGTTATCTTTCAATTATAATCTCTATTACAAAGCTCAAAACATTCGGCCACTTCAACTAATATTAGAATTAAAGTGGCAATATATACTCCCCAGTCCTAAAAATATATAATCATTTTCAGACTTTAACACTCTTTTCAAGATGCTACTTTGACTATCGATATCTATGAAAGTAAGATGTTTTAAATAAAAAAAGTTGCATATTATGATAGTTTATTTAATGATAAATCTAGTAATATTAGTTTTACATGATTGATCTTTTTTTTTTCTATTAATAGTCTAAATTAAAAATATTTGACTTGTTACTATATATGCTAAAAATGCTTATATTTTGGGATGGAGGAGTATATTGCATGCATGTAAACTTTACATCTTGTTAATTTCTTTGGCACCAGTAGAGCTCGTACGTTGTGCTGTAGTATCTTGTACCTCACGTCGACTTTTCATGATGAGTAGTCGATGTTTCTGACCCCTCGTGATTACTTCCACATTTGTCTTCGCCCTACGTGGTTGTGTGTGCTATACTCCCTCCATAAAAAAAAAAACTCAACTTCTATAGTTTGAATTTTATCCTATAAAAAACCAACTTCTATTATCCTATATATCCTTAGCACGTAAAATAAAAAGTTTTATTCCTTCAATACCTTTACGTACCTATCACTATTACTACTTTTTTTATTGATTAATGGTATTTCAGTCATTCTTTATCTCCACTAATTCCACCTCAAAATGCTAGGAATGTATTTTTTTGAGATCGAGGGAGTACGTATGTGTATTAATTTTTGGTTTTTATTACGTGGTATGCTGTTAAGCTAGTGTGGTACCACGAAAGCTTGCATTTTTCCATGCATGACCTACTTGCAGACTACATCTCCATCGAGCATATTTATAACTAATTTAACAGAATTCGTAACCGTTGTGTCACAGAAATTGAAGGAGATTTTTCTCTCGAATTTTAGACTACGAGAGATCCACACTAAGATTTCTGTTGGTCTCTTTCTCCTCCAACTTGGTCTGGTGAGTCATCGCAGCTCGCGGTTAGGATTAATTCTAGTAGGTTGAGTTCCAGGTGGGAGGGGTAGGCGAGGGAGAGATTGGGTTTCCCCTTGAGAGATAGCCGTAGGCAACGGAAGGACCGACGATGTATAGTGGACTTGAGTGAGTAGGGAGGTGGAGGCAGAGCCACCTGAAACTGCGAGAATAAAGAAAGACGGTGGGCTGGTGTCGCCGACAACAGCTTGATGATAAGGAAAGAGAAAAATATGGGATGAAACATTCATACCTCAATTGCCTTGGGGGCTGGCTAATGGGCGATCGCTCGAGCGATCGATCCCCATTCACCCCTATACACTTCTCTCCTCCCTTCCTCCTTCCCTTCTTCTCTTCCTACTACACCATAAATTTTTAAAAAATAAAAAAACAAAATTGAAAAAAATTATGTCTAGAAATAAAAAATATTTGAATTTAAATTCAAATTTGAAATGGGTATGTAAACTTTTGAATTATAAACTTTTGGTCTATAAAATAATATTTGAATTCAAATTTAAATTTGAATCGAGTATGTAAACTTTGGACTTATAAACTTTGGGTCAATAACTTTAGATCTATAAACTTTAGATGTATAGAAATACTATATATAAAAAATATTTGAATTCAAACTCAAATTTGAATCATATATAATTCAAATTCAAATTTAAATCGGGTATATAAACTTTTGACTTATAAACTTTGGGTCTATAAACTTTAGGTGTATAAACTTTAGATGTATAGAAATACTATATATGAAAATATCTGAATTCAAATTCAAATTTGAATCGGATATATAAACTTTTGATTTATAAACTTTGGGTCTGTAAACTTTAGATGTGTAAACTTGAGGTGTACAAACTTTAGGTACATAAATTTACTAAAATAGGAAAGTAATACGGTGCCAAAAAAAGAATGGAGGGAGGGGGGCATTCGGATCTGATCGCTAGGGGCGATCGATCGCCCCTTAGCAATCTCGATTGCCTTGTACCGTTCATGTGTGGTATACGTCTTGCCACACAAAAAAGTTTTTAAATTATTAAGTCGATTGGTTCGTAGTTTATTTCTCAAATTATATACTACTCAAAAAATATTTTAAAAGTACCAAAATTCTCTGTGTGGTCAATCGTTAGCACGGTGTGTTAAAAGTAAGTAGTTCATGGGTGCATCCAAAGATAGTGGGTATATATATAAATTATTAAGTCGATCGGTTCGTAGTTTATTAATTTCTCAAATTATATACTACTCAAAAGTATTTTAAAAGTACCAAAATTATCTGTGTGGTCAATCGCTAGCACGGTGTGTTAAAAGTAAGTAGTTCATAGGTGCATCCAAAGATAGTGTGTATATATATAAATTATTAAGTCGATCGGTTCGCAGCTTATTTCTCAAATTATATACTACTCAAAAATATTTTAAAAGTATCAAAATTCTCTGTATGGTCAATCGTTAGCATGGTGTGTTAAAAGTAAGTAGTTCACAGGTGCATCCAAAGATAGTGTGTATATATACAGTGGCGGAGTTGAGTGGCGGACAACTCCGGGCGCATGTGGTTGTGCTCGTTGCGGTGAATTCATTGTAAAATTTCATACAATACATGATTGAACATAAAACTTTTGTAGCAAATACTTACTGTAGATAGATCTGTTCGAACTTCAAAAATTTTCTAGCTTAGGCACTGCTATACATATATATGGTGTAGATCGTCATTGGTGTGTTTGTACTAGTCTCATCATAGTGAGAAACAAAGCAACAACTATAAACAAATAATGCGCAAAAGGAACGCTGCTTCGGTTGACAAATACTCATCGACACATCATCAGTGCATGCAAAACCAATGATCAGTGTTAGCAAATTCATTGACAAATATATACGACTCCAAAAATCTAATTGGCACTTCTGTTGTTGAAACAATATTTTCCACTATCCTGTATTTTTCAGGCCTCTTAGGGAATCCACAATGTAAATCAAAAG